GCAACCTGTCTCCACCACGTGCACAGCCAGCTCACAGCACCAGCACCAGCGCCGGCACCCGGCACCACCAGCACCAGCACCGGCACCCGGCACCCAGCACCAGCACCGGCACCCGGCACCCAGCACCAGCACCGGCACCACCAACCTGTATCCACCACGTGCGCAGCCAGCTCACAGCACCAGCTTGCACAGCCAGCTCACAGCACCAGCGCCGGCACCCGGCACCAGCACCAGCACCAATCTCGAAAGCGCGCACGGGCAACTCATTGTTATTTGAAGTAAGAACCCCATAGCTTCGCTCTCTGGGGAAAAACTAAAAAATTACTCCACCATAGACTGCAGACAGCAAAAGCATGCAAAAGACTTTTTTGGGCTGCACCTGCATTGGCAGCAGCACCAACGCAATACAGCGTGGCGTGTCTCCACTACGCGCACAGCCAGCGCCAGCACCCGGCACCAGCACCCAAACTGCACCACGCACACAACGAGCACCAGCAACCCAGCAGCACCCTGGCGGACACACGCACAGCCAGCACCGGTACGCCAGCTCACAGCACCACAAGCGCACAGCCAGCACCCAGCCCCCTGTTTCCACCACGCGCGCAGCCAGCTGACAGCACCCAGCGCGAGCTCCCAGCACCCGCACCCTGTTTGCACCACGCGCACAGCCAGCTCACAGTCCACCACGCACACCCAGCACCCAGCAACGGCGCCCAGCACTGGCACCCTTTCTCCACCACGCGCACAGCAGGGAATAACAACGTATGATCTTGCGCGAAAAACTTTATGCACACAAAAGTATGCGCGCAAACAGCAAAGCCCGTAAGTGTCATTGGCCCAAGGCCAAGCAGTATCCAGCGCCACTGTTGATTTTGTAGCATGCTTGAAGCAACGATCTGTAGAACCATAAGGCCAATATGATCTTGGGCGTACAAGTTTATGCGCGCAAAAGTATGCGCACAAACGGCAAAGCCCGAAGGCCTCACTCGCCCAAGGCCAAGCAATATCCAGCACGACTATTGTGTGTGTAGCATGCTGAAACATGCTGAAACAATGGTCGGTTGAGAGCCTGACGTTGCGCATACAACATTATACGTACAAAAGTATGCGCGCAAACAGTACAGCCCTTGACACAGCTGTCGGCCAAAACAGAACCTGAAGAGGGTAAATACCCCACAGCGCTAATAGACAAAGAACGCTCAAGCGACAACACCGTATGATGTTGCGTGCATACAGCCAGCTCACCAGCACCGGCACCATGTCTCCACCACGTGCACAGCCAGCTCACAGCAGCAGCACCAGCACCAGCAACCTGTCTCCACCACGCGCACAGCCAGCTCACAGCACCAGCACCAGCACCAGCACCAGGAGCAGCAACCTGTCTCCACCACATGCGCAGCCAGCTCAACACCAGCGCCAGCACCGGCACCCAGCACCCAGCACCAGCACCAGCACCCGCGCCGGCGCCCGGCCACCAGCACCAGCACCGGCACCCGGCACCCAGCACCAGCACCGGCACCAGCAACCTGTCTCCACCACGTGCGCAGCCAGCTCACAGCCAGCGTGCACAGCCAGCTCACAGCACCAGCACCGGCACCCGGCACCAGCACCAGCAACCTGTCTCGAAAGCGCGCGCGGGCAAATCATTGTTATTTGAAGTAAGAACCCCATAGCTTCGCTATCTGGGGAATAACACATCACTTGTCTTCTTGACGCTTCCATCTCGAGGTTTCGTGCCACTCTGCCTGAATGCAACGCACAAGGTCACCGCCCATGGCCTCAGTGATCCGGTTGCGGTATCTCAGCGCGAGAAGGGTCTTCGGCCATGCTTTGCTTGGAGCTGGACCAGCGCATCATGGCGAGCACGGTGTTCAATAAAATGGCGCACCTGGTTCACTCAACAACCAGTCTGGGTCAAGCCTCAAAGCCTAAGATACTGATCTATTGTCTATTGCAAAGAACATTACATGGCACAAAAACATGGCACATCCTGTACCCCAAGTATTCTGATGAGAGCCTCATGACTCAAATCAATCTTGCAGGAAAGATATGAAGTACTACAGGTCTCTAGACTCATGAACTTTATAAATGTGTTTGAAGGCTTTCCGCCAGGCTCTCCGCGTGCTTCCTCCCCAAGACCCATACGACGCCATGTGTCCAAGGCAAGGGTTTATCCTTGGTCACAGCAATACAGCCCTTGTGTCTTTCTGTTGTTATGTTTTTCTGGTTCTGATCTTTTTGGGGGGATAGGCCTTGAAGAGCGGCGGCTGTGGATTGGCCAGCGAGACAGGAAGAAGATACTAGATCCGACAGCGCTACAGTTGCAGCTACGGTCCTGCTTTTTGAGAAACTAACATGTAGACCGTTCACCTTTCTCCATCCTGTCTTTCTTTCTTTCCTTCCTTTAGAGTTGGCAAACGTCTGGGTTTTGCCCAGAGACGGGCCATCTCTGAGTCTGCGTCCCAAATAATGTCACACCACTGGTCCACCATGACGCCTTGTGTTTCCTGCCATGTTGATACATAAAAGCTACCAGTCAGTCCAGTTGTGTCTCACAGTCTCCTGCCGGAAACGGACGGTGCATTGCACCTCGGACAGCAAGGTGTAATTATGGTGCATTCCCCTGGATGCAGGTATTCATGGAACCGCTGGATTCAGCCTTAAAGCGATCGCCGTAGAGCACGTCACAGGTGTAGCTGTGCTGTACGAATCGCATCTCCTGGTGACCGTGTCTTGGTGTCTTGCATTCAGAACCAGTCTCCGATGCTCCTCAGGATCTCGCACCAAGCGCCAAACAGAGGTCGAACCTCAGCACACCCAGATTGCAAAAGATCTGTGGCTCAAGAAGTCTGCGAATCCTTCCAGAGGCGTTTTCGGGACAATCTACAGTAATGTTCTTGAAGCATCTTGAAGCAGCACCACCAGGTCTGGATCCAGGGCCGTGGCTAAGCTGATCTGGAACATTCAGCAGTCGCCTGAGAAACAAACACTAGCGCTGAAAGGTGCCTTCAAGGGTCCTCTCCCCGTTGCTGCAAGCTTTTTAAATATCCTGCCTGGCAAAACCAGGAACATCTTCGGGGACAGGGGCCATGTAGCAACATTTCCGTACCTGGCACTAGGAGCATCCAGCATCCAGATTGACATCTCGGACCTTTCCACCGGAATAGCCAAACAAACGTCTTTCTTGATGTTTCTTTTTAGCCCGCGCCGCTCCCCCCTCCCAACTTAATTAAGTAAGGAATAGCTACCTAGCTAGTAGCTTAAGTAGCTACTACAGGACGCAGGATAGCTCGGGCTAATGATTTGGTTCCTAGATTTTTGGGAAACTAAACTAATAGCACCTGTTCGCTACTAGGAACAAGTGCATCGCTTCTAGTAACAAGTGCTTTACTAGTAGTAACAAGAAGCAATTAATAGCACCTGAACAAACCCACGCCTTCGCACCAGGAATCACATTGCAGGCCACCCATGGTGTCGTGTGGAAGTCATAGCAATTGGCCACCTGTTGCGTCTAGGGGCGAAAGACATCCCACACCCTCAAAGCAAAGATATAAAATATGCTAAGCTAGACTAAGTCCATGATAGTATGAGTCTTCACAAACTCTCACCCTTGACACAATCTGTTCTGAACACTCTTTCTGCGCCTCGCTCAAGAACTGGATCAGTGGACATGCATCTGGCCTTGGTCGAAATCAATCAGAAATTGCAACAAACAAAAAAAATGAAAAAATGATTCTTTGTGCAACCAAGCAACCGTTTCATCACCGCCCAAATCTTCTTGAGGGTGGCCTCGCTACTTGAAAGGCTAAAAGACCAACAGAACATCAAGCGTTTCAATACCTGTTTGACCCTGTTAGTCCTTGTTCACTATATTTAGGGAGGGATGGACCGCGAAGTTGGGAGGTACTGCTACTAGTGGCAAGGATGCAGAAGGGCTTGAATTTCTCGAGGAAACTTCCCGCTCTGGAGGGCAAGAAAAGCTTCTTTGAAGAACTCTTCGCATGGTCGAGGATACCCTGGATAGTCAGCACGTTAGCACAACTTGCTTTGACTCGGCCGCGCCTCTTTGACCAAGTGACTGGTCAACGGCTGTTTCGGGGGCACTTCCACATCCGGAAGATTCCTGCGGACATGCGTCTTGAGCACACTGGACCCAGAGATGCGCTGTGGAATCAAGGATAGTGAGTGACCCTCAAATACAAAGAAGTGACGACGAGTGGAAAGGGAGCACAAACAGCGTGCAAAACTGGCCAATCTGTAGTTGTGGAGAGAAAGGGATATATAGAGGTACGATAAGGGCCTCAGGCTCATGGAGTTTCTTCATGTATGGATGTGTGTAGGCATGTGGGTATGTATACATGGTATATTGTAATATTGGCAACAAGCAACATTGACACCACAAGTCGTGCCGCGCAACAGCGTTCGCCTACAGCGCGGAGCTACAAAAACGCACTTTCCACGGGGGCCTCGCCTAACCACATCGCACAAAAAAATGTCAGTTCTGAGTCCCTAGCTCCCAGAAGCTACCTTCTGCACTACATTTGCACTACAAAATCGCCAGCTCTGAGCCCCAAAGCCCCCAGTACCAAGTTGCCGGGTTTGAGCCTCTAGCTCCCAGAAGCCACTGCCCATCCGTTACTTGCACTGCGAGTTGCCTGTTTGGAGCCCCTACCCAGAAGAGCCACCTCTAAGCCGGAACGATTCCCGGAGAGGGTTCACCAGAGAGGGTAACGCTTCGCAACCCCAGCCCCGCCACCTTCCAGAGAGAAGATATAAAGAAGCGGCCCATCTCAGATCTTCTGCGTTTGAATAGATATCTGCATGGAAAAGTTCTACGATTCTACACATGCAAGATACCCCGGCAAGACTTCTACTTTTGCAAGAGCACGTCCTTTTGACGGAAGACCCCTTCGCAGCTCCCGGCAACAAAGGTGAGCCCAATTGAACATGTGTTGAACAATGTTGAACATACTTTTGATTACTGTAAGACACAAAGCACCTTGCTTTTCAATCTCACAAAGAACTACAGTATATACTGTCCCTGCGGCAGAAGTCACAGAAGACTGCTTTCGCAGGAGCTTCTTGAACCTAGGAACAGGATGAGTTGGACTAAATGAGAGCGACATGACAATCCGTGGCCAAAGATCAAGTTGCCTAGGTTGCCCGGCTTGACTGTCAGCCGAGCTTTAACTCGTCTGCCCATCTTCCTGGCATTCACTCAGTTTCCTTGTGCTTCACTTCCACTTCCAATTCAACCATGCCAGACTCCACTTGAAGGCGTCGCCTGAGTAAGCAGCACATGCTGGGAGTGCATGTACAAAACCACTCTTTCAACTGTCTCTCACATCAGCACGAATATCCGGACTTGCCTGTGTAATTACAGTATATATAATATAATCATATAAAATTGAGTGAACAATCCAGGTGGGACGTAGGGGAACGCCCAGCTAATCCTATCCACCGGGAGGTTGTAAAAGAAATAAGCTAAATCCCTGGATGCCCTATCTATATTTATTACAACACGAGGCGAGTCCGAAGGACGAGACCCCGTGGTTGCAAGGACGATCGAACGAAGGCACGACGGCGAACGGACGACCGAACGAAGGTGCGAAAAGCAACGAAAAGGTGCAAAGCGAAAGCGAATGCACGGTCAACCACAGGTCAACACGTGCGGCACCCTGAAGGAAAACCGGAAGTGGCGCCGATTTTCCTTGAGCCATGCATGTCGCGGAAACGGCACAAATGTTTCAATGTACCTTGGTGAACCGAACGACATGAACTGTACATGTAGTGAATGCTGTTGCATGTTAGGGGTTCACAGAAAATGACTCCCCCCTCCCCGTTTTGGGGCAGCATTCTTTTGTACATGCACGAATTACCGCGCCGGGTGGCAGCGGTTTCGACGACCTACGAAGGCTTCGAACTGCTTGGAAGACTTCTATCTGTCTTAGACGGGACTAAGCACTTCACGTCTGTACGGATGCCGAGCAAGCATAGCGCCTTGAACCATTTCTGGGGTGGAAGCGCTTTGGTGAAGATGTCGGCTGCTTGCTCGTTAGTATCGATGTACTTAATCTCGACAGATGGGTCGTCGATGCATTCTCTTAACGAGCTTAGATTGATCTTGTGCGTTCGGCTGATGTGTCTTAACTTGGGTGAGAATCCCTTCTTAACTACTAGAATTGTGGCTTGGTTATCTTCTTGTATGACAAGGTTAACGGCTCGTCCAAGAAGTCTGTCCCATAGTTGTAGTGAAGGTAAACCTTCTTGATACAACGAATAGGCTAAGCTAACCACCTCGGATTCTGTAGTGGATCTCGACGTCGACGTTTGGCGTTTGGACACCCAGGCTAACGGAAAGTGGGTGTTTGGACCTTTAAGTACGAGGTAGCCACCGGAGGTGGATTTGACGTCGTGTTGGTCTCCGCCAAAATCAGCATCAACAAACAATTCGAGCCACAATTCACTAGGTTCATCTCCGCATACGGCGGTTAGTCTGTAGTCTAGTGAAAATTGTATGTACTGGATCAGCCGCAGTAGCTTCTTGTCATGCACGCGGGTCCACTTCTGTACCTTAGTGGCAAGATCGTTTATTGGCTTGAGTATGTCAGGTCGAGCTAGTCTGGCGAGCCATAAGGCCTTCATTAAAATAGAACACGCCTTCGGGGCCAGCTCTCCGGGAGACTCTTCATCAGCTTGGGTGAACGTACCATCAACGAGCAAGGGCGTTTGGGCCGACTTTATTTTATCAACACCAGCCACCGATTTATAGAGATCGATGGTTTGCTGCGCGTAGTCTTGCATGTCGAAAACTAGCGCGTCAGCACTGCCGCGCAAAGCAGCGGTCTCGGTGTATCCCGAGTCCGGCACGGTGGAGTAAACATGATTGCGACCTAAAATTCGGTAAATGGGCTCAGGCGGCTCAACATTAACTACGTTAGTAATTTCAGACCAAAACTTTTCATGTTGGTCGCGGGGACCGGACAAGTAAGGTCATCTACATATGTAGAAAGCATGAGCCGTGAATCGGGGAACCAGAAATTTCCAGGAAATTCTGGGATCTCTTCCCCTCCCATTTTACGCAGAATCTCCTTGAGGTGTTGTTCCCACATTCCCCCTGCATCGGGGTGACCATATAGGGCTTTCACCAAAAGGACGACTGGCTGCACGAATTTGTTCTTCCACCACGCTGGCCGGAGCTCGGGTGGGAGCTCAATCCAAGTTTTATACTTAGACTTGAGCGTTGCTTGCACATACGCCTTAACTGCGTCGGCCGCAGTGCATAGGTTGCCTGGAAGGCTTCCGTATGCTAGGCAGGCGTTGAGGCCTTGAACTGAGGTGGGGTTGGCACCTAGTTCTTGGTACACCGCGGCCGCGCCATTTTCGTCCTTTGCGCAGTCACCGCGGTATACTATACGCCCCTTTTTCCTCTGTAGCTCCTTAGCTAATTCATAAAATTTTATTGATGCAATGGTCATTAATTTGGAAATGCCAGTGGCTTTTGCCTCGGCGCGTACGTCCTCCTTTTCACGGACGGATTCGTACTGCCATGTGTCTTCTTTGACAAGGCCGGCGGCCTCATCTTTGACCTTTTGCAATGCCTCTGGATCGCTGAGCATTTCGGACCTGCTAAGGAGCTTAGTAACCATCGCATCAACTTCCCGCTCACCTTGTTCGGTGTGCGGTACCTTATATGCTTCGCGCATAAGCGCTTTAATATCCATAAGACACTCGACCATCTGGTCAGCCGTTTCGTTAGCTTCGACGGCGATGGCCATGGCGTCGATACCAGAAAGAGCAGAGACATGCTTCAACTCTTGCTCATTGCAGCGAAGCCCGGGTTCATACTGACATGAAACACATGGCATGGCGGGGGCAATAGGGTTGTAAAACATGTTTGGGTAAAGTGCTCTTGCTATTTCGACGGTCATTTGTCTAGGATAAAATGCAGTTTTAGCGGTCTGGGACCCTACTGCGTGGTCATGTTCGTGGGGGCTATGTGTGCTTTGGAAGCTCGAAAACAGTTCAACGATCGCCTTGCTGGTGGTCATCAGCCGCCACCTTTTCTTTATCGGGCGATTTCGGGTGGAT